GGTTTAGGGTAATTATAAGAGTAATAATATAGTTTTTAAAATACAATCTTGGATTGAATTAATTGGTCATAAAACTAAACAAAGATTTTAAAATTATATATTTTTCGAAATAGATATTTATTTTTGTTTAATTTGAATGGTACAAATTAAGATTACAGTCTTTGAATAATTGTTTTAGGCAAGTTTATAAGTATTCTAATGTGTTTGACAATTGGAATATTAGTGTATTCAAGTTACTATTATGTATTTTTAGAGGAGGTTTGGACAATGGTATAAGAGCATTTAATTTGAAGTTAATTTTATTAATCAAAAATGTAAAAAAAAATTGTGGGCTTGACACCTAAGCAAATTTGTTTCAAAATGCTTCTATTTTAATATATGGAGGATAAAACCAGCACGTAAATTAGAAAGAGATGGATAGTTACTTGTTTTGTACCCTATTTTCTCTCTAAGTAGCCGCTAATATAGTAACCTTCATCTTCTTGTGTGTTTCGCTCGGCTGCCGGCGGCTTCCATAGCCGGTGTTGTTACAAGCAAGGAACAAAAATGCCTTTTATTTTTAACCTAGATATGCATGGTCGATAACAACCAGGGGAGATGAACCTTCATTCAATCACGAAGTCGCGCGCGGCGATTTTCTTCACCAAACCTCCGTCAAACTTTCCTCTCCACCGTTCAATCGCTCGCCTCTCCGGTGCCGGTTTTGACCGGTAGAGTGAGAGGGCTTCTCCTCCTCCTTCTGTTTAGCTAACTTGTTGCGATTGATTCCTCTCGTCCGTCCTTGATTTGCCTTTGTGTCCGCGGTGAGTGGGTCGGAGTACCACCGTGCGTGATGGCTGCGCTCCGGTGAGTGGGTTCTCTTCGCCATAGTCGCTTGCTATCGACAACTAGTCCTACCGACGAAGTCCAGCTACTACCCACCACTTGCCTCACGCATGTCGATCGGCGAGGATCTTCTCTGAGATCCCCTCTCCACCCTGGTGATTCTTTTGACGAAGAAGTNTGTGCTCGGCCGTGGAGAAGCGTCTGGTGGTCGTTGTCTCGCTTCTTTGTCATGATAATGTTTCGCCCAATTCCAAGTCTTGAATTGGATCTCCCATCGCGCCTCGCCTCGTCCAGTCATCTGGGCTCTCTCTCCTTCGTATTTTCTTCCGTGTGAGGTCGGTGGATTTTGCAGAGGAGCGTCGGCTCTGTCCTAGCTGGCGTTGCGGTGGTTGTCTTCTAGGGTTCAGACTTCCGGAGATCTCCAGTGGCGGAGGTTGTGTGGCGGCAACGGTTCTTCATTTCTGGTACCTTGATCTCCTTGTCTTCCCTTGCTTGATTAGTTACTAGGAAATGGTTCTCGGTCGATGCTTTTTGGGATTAGTCTTGATGTTAAGGCTTGATGAAATCTCTGCTTACTGGATGGTTTCGGTTGTGGGACAACAACTGTCTCCTTCGGGTGAGTAGTTTTTGTGGCGTCTTGAGTGTGACATTTCATCTAGGTTGATCTCTTGTAGTGTCTTCTGGTCCATGCGGTTTGTATTCATTGAGTTGGTATTGCTACCGGTGGTGGCTCTTGTATTGGCTCTCTGCTTTACACTGCCGTAGATCGAGTTTGGTAGGTGGAGTCATGACCTGTGGTTACTTGTGTCCTACCTTTGATGTTGCTGTGTTGATGTTGTCACGGCTGGCTTGGTGTCGGGACTTGGTACTTTTGTTTGAGTCAATAGAGGAGCTAGTATGATTAAAGGGAATTGGCTTGGTTCTTAACGGATTAGACTTGGCTATGTACTAGCCGACCTCGGGAGTAGCTTGGTAGGGGGAGCTCTCGCCATTTTCCGGTTTAGTTCTGAGGTTTCGTTCTTGGTTTAGCTCATGGAGTTGTGCATCGAGCCACTCTCACTAGCGCGAGAGGAGTTAGTGATCGAGGGTTGTGTGTGTCCTCGCCGTTGACGAATTGTTTATGGGCCTCTGGTGAAAGGCTTCTATTGAATTAGACTTTGGTATGTAAGTTTTGTATGCTTTGTTTGGTTACTTCATCTCGAGCTTCTGATTTAGGAAGAACAAGTGCTTCGTCATCACTTCGATCGCTCCATAACTTTGTGTTATTGTCGAGCATCGGACTGAAAATTTTGTAGGCATATGTTTCCATTTTTTTATCTTTTTTTTTGCCATGGAATACATTGTATAGGGCTATAATTTCGATTATAACCCAAACCGATTCATTTATGAAATATTTACCATTTAGCAAAAACAAACAACCAGGGGAGATAAACCTCATCAACCACGTTTGAATCCCTAAGAAATTCGTTGTACCATTTTGCAATTCAATCCAGCCTAATTAAATAGAAAAGTGATTTAGTATTGACATTAAAATTTTATCCCTTGTTGGCAGAAAATAAGTTAA